TCCTCAATAATTTTCCTTAATATAATTCTAGTTCTTACAATCCTACTAAGGAAATTAATGTCTTAGTTTTAAGATTGTATTATATTTCAGTATGCTATTTATTGTATGAGCAGCATTGTTAACTTAATTAGTAACAGTGAGAGCTGAGGAGAAAATTTCGGTAAGCTTTGGTTGAAAACCAAGGTATGAGACTAGGGCTGAAAATGCGTACTATAAAAGTGAAGACAATTTGAGAACTACGGGTAAAGATTAATTGTAGAAATTTTGGCCTAAAATTATGAAGAATTTGTTGGACTATACTGTTGGTATCATCTTTTCTTTAACACCCTAACAACCTAAGTTCACACCAGGTTTGGTCATACCTTACTACAGTGGTTCCAGTTCATGTAATCAGATCCTATTGGTCTGATGTCATTTTCATTAAAAGAGAGTCTCACTAATCATATATTATTTTCCTTGACTAGCTATTAAAATCTGCCTTTGATGGAAGGAAGAGATTCAGCTAATGGATGAAGAAACTCTGAACTCAAAGTAGTTTAAAATTTCTAAGTGGTATTTTATTTTCTCAGAGTGATTTTTTTTTTAACTGATTTTTTCCCCCACTAATATTTGGATAATAACATATACCATTAAAATCTCTATAATTTATAAAGGAACATTATTTTCCATCATTATTGTTTTAAGGACAAGTTTTCCCATTTTATTCATGCTTGAACAAATACAATGATTGACCCCTCCCCAAGTTACAAACATATTGTGGCATACTGCAATAATAGACCACTGGTCTCAACTTGTTATCTCCTTATAAATCACATTCTCTAGATCGATTAGTCCCTATCTGGGCAATTCATTGGTTTGGACAAAAGGCTTGTTTCAGACAGATAAAAGAAATAGAACCTACCTCCTGCTTAGAAAGTTAAAGTAATGTGACTTATTGACTACTGCATATATTCAAAATTGAATGTATTCAATACTGAGTATTGAATACTGTGTAAAACTTTAGTATAACTCTGTCTTCTACTTTGCCTTTTGAGGGATTCCCTCCTGGCAAAACTTTGTGGTACACTCAAGTTTGCTGTTTTCATTGATTTAGTGTAAGACTGAGAACTCTGTATTTTTAAATGTCAGTACGTAATTCTCACTAATGAAACACATAACCAAAAAACAAACTCACTGCTATCAAGTTGATTCAAAGTCATAGTGACCCTTTAGGAAAAGCATAGAACTGCCACATAAGTTTCCAAGATTGCAAATCTTTACAGAAGCAAGCAGCCGTATTTTTCTCTCAGAGTAGCTGGTGAGTTCAAGTAAACAACCTGCTGGTTAGCAGCCAAATCTTTAACCACCATGCCACCAGAGCATTTTAAAATAAATAAGAAAGCAAATTATATAAAAATATTTCAAAAAACCTTTACTTAAGCCTATTGAAAATAACCTTCTTTGAAAATATTAGACATAACTAGTTTTTATTTTTTATGCCTCCTCATAGAATCCGTTAATTTAAGGTTAATGCCCCTTCCATTAGTCAGAACAACTTAAATACAACATTTGCTTGTTCACATTAAAAAAAAAGGATATAAATTTATGTTTATTTCCTTAGTTGTTATAGTCATAGAGGATAAGAGTTACATTCTTTGCAAATATTATTATATATTGCATTGTTGTTGTTGTTGTTATGTGCCGTCGAGTCAGCCCTGACTCATAGCGACCCCTCCTTGGGTTTCCGAGGCAGTATCACTA